TCCAATGTCTTCCTTCATTTTTCATTCAAAGCATTAGAATAACTGATCCATACACTATAAATAGAATGAGAATGTTATGTATTCTTTCTCCCTTGATAAGTACACAGTAGTTATTGTTTTATTTTGATTTATTTTCTTTTTACCATTTCTGTGGCTTGAAAGGCCTACACTCTAATTTAGTTGGAATAGGGAGATAGTTCTCAAGGAGTTATCAACAGGGCAACCAAACAGGTACCAGTATCTAAGAAACTCATAATTTGGACTCCTGGCTCTGCAGAGAGCTGAATTTCCAAGCACAGACTGCCCATCTGCCACCACCAGCTCCCGACTTGATCCAAGGATGGCTATGGTCTCCTGGCCCTTCAGGTGCCGTGCCGCACCGTGCCAACAACAATGGACCTGTGGATGTATGCAGGGAATAAGATGCAGGCAAGAAACACGGTCATCTCCTTCCCTCCATTCCACGCATTTTCAGGGAGAGAAAACTGGTGCTAGTGAGGAGGAATAAAAAAACTTACATAGTACCATCATTTGTGGCCCTCTGAACTCCATTTTTCAGTTTAACTTACTTTTTCTCTGTAGGGGGCTATTGATGAAAAAAAGTGGAGAAATATTTCTCTACTCAATCATTCCCCACTTTTCTTAAACTAAAATAAAGCCAGTTCCTGAGGGGCACAAGACATGTATGCGTGTGTGTGTGTGAGAGAGAGAGAGAGAGTGAGTGAGTGAGAGAGAGAGGAGGAGGGGGAAGAGCAGTGGGGGAAAGGGAGGGAGGAAGTGGTGGCTATGCATAAATGAGGAAACTTAGGAGTGGAAAGCAGGTCCTAAACAATGCCCCCACTTGACCTGTATGCTGCCCCGAAAAAGCTGCTGTATGCTCTCACTGTTTGGTTCAGACGAATAGAAAAGTGTTTCCGCAGATTTCCCCTCCTGCTGTTCTTATCCAATAAGGGCTGCTTACGTTCTAGCTTCCTGACCTGACACCTGAGATCAGCCTGTTGTCTGGCACTGCCCAGCACACACATCCACTTATGCTCTTAGAGGGAGTCTTCCCTCAGAGGACTCAGCCATGAGCCCAGATTCCTGGATTTGCCGGAAACCCAGATGATTTCCTTTGTTCTTGACCTTCTTAAGACATCCAAAGTGAGGGCCCTGTGTGGTACTGATGAGTCTAGTTTCTTTCAGATCTCAGGTGGGCTGTGCTACTTCCTGATTGTTGTTTCATCCCAAAGACTGAGAATATTGCCTGCCACAAGACCCATTTCTCAAACATGCTTTTAAACACCTTTTAGACTGACGTCACTATAAGCAATATTTACAGGGAAATAGCTACTGCAGTTTACTTGGGAAGAAGCCAAGGAAAAGAGAGAAAAATGTTTCCAGTCCAGAGACTGACTAAATTGCCATGACCTGGAAGAGGTACAGGATCAAGTTGAATTCCAATTTTTGCCCAAGAAGCTGGCAGCAAGTTGAGCCCTTTTCTTCCCCTTGCACGATCCTATGAAAGGCACACTAAAGTCAGCAATTCCTGTCATGGTAACCCAGGGAGTAGTTCCAGTCATGCCCTGGGCCCATTCAGTTGAGCCACACACTCACAAACCACCTCAGATTAAACTGTGTACATTATTTCTGTATGAGGGCATGTACAGTCACCAACATACACTGACAAGAGTCAAAAAAGACAGAGTCCATCATACAGATATAAACCTGTGTCCCATTACCAAGTCACACCATATCCCACAGAACTAAGAAATAAGTATTTCTATTCTCCCTGTCATTATGTTTTGAATAGCATGATTATATTTCACGGTTTTATATATGTGTGCAAAAATGTTAATTTGTTTAATGTAATATTTCAGATATACCACATTGTTAAACCCCGTTTTGGCTTTTTTTCTGGTATTAATACACCAGAACATCCAAGTAAGAGAAGTGGCTCCTTATGTGACACCAGGGAACATGTTCCAAACGAGTTGACTTGTTATTGTCAGAGAAATACCCAAAGACAAAAATAGTAGGTCAATTGACCTTGTAATAATTTTTTATATCATAGGGGATGCATATAACATGGGCTGAACAATTATTGCTTAACTGATTATTGAGTATTTATTTCATATCAAAGAATAGATATTTTAGCCTGTTATACAACACCTGATAGAGAGGGTCAAATTTTTCCTTCCATACTAGGGATTTGGCAAATAATCTTACAGTTTTTATACTTTCTTCAATACAGGAATCTATTAAGTTAAAAAAAAACTGAAAGAGAAAAACACACAAATATTTTCAATGATATGAAATCCCAGTTAAAGAGAAGAGAATATTTTAAGGACATTTTTAAATTCTGGAAAGAATGGAGTGTCTAAGTACCTACTTTCATGTGTGTGGCACACATAGAGCATATGTTCAACTAAATTATCATACTGAATAAGCAAAAAACTGGAAAGGCAAGGTCCACAGATATTCTGCTTTAAAGCTATCTTACCTCCTAAGCAAGTGAGAACAAACACGAAGGTTCCCAGCATTCCTACACAAGGGCTTCACAACATAGGAAAGAGCCTGATGTACCCACACAATAAAGTAAATAGTGAGGGCTAGAATATCACCCTACTGTAGCTGTAATATTACTACTTTTTCTTAAGTTGTGAAAATACTATCCACACATACCTGCATTACCACTCCCCTCACCAAGAATTACTCCAGAAAGAAAAAAAAAAACAAGTTATAGGACTCCAGAAGAGTACAGGAAAAGGTAGTGGTTTATATAAGACATTACACAGAGCCATTTTTAAAAGGCTCTAAACCTCAGACAAACGAACAATAATTTCACTAAACTACTAGGTAATCAAATGTAAATAATTTCCATAATATTTCACTATTCAAACAGAAAGAAAAATGTAGACATATAAACAAACATAAATCCTGTATGGAAATTTAGTAAAGAATCAACTTATAGTGAAGATTGACTTAGCTTGATTAACAATGTGGAAACAAATTTACCATTTATAACTGCATAAAATTTTCCAAAAACCAATGTCTTTGGCTGCTGGGTAGAGTTTGTAGGTAGATTTCTTGTCTATTCATACAGACACAATTTGAAGCAAATTTAAATAATATGTTGGATGCATATGTAAAGGTCTATTGTAATGAGCCGTGGTCATAGTTACCTTCTTAGAGATTAAGAAACGGCGATTTCTTCTAAAATTTACAGATTAAATGAACTACCTTGTGTAGGAAATCAGATTATTGACCTTATTTTATCCTTGTGAGAAATTCTTTGGGAAAATATACATATATCTTAAATTTTTTCTGTAACAGTACTTAACTTTAGATATAGGTTAATAATGTCATTATGAACAAATAAACCACAGTAACCTTTCAAATTGTCTTTGACTTAATTGCTTTATTTTTATATAGTTGGCTAACTTTCTCTGGAACTTTTGATGGAACAATGATTTATTCCTTAGTTGCCTAAAGGCTTGAAAGAACTCATTTAACACCCACAATACTCACTTAACTCCAGAATCTGTCTCATTCATTTTCAAAATTCACTCCACATTTTTAGTAGTAACTCAAGTATGTACCTAAACACTTGATATTGGAAAGAGCAGTAGCCTTTCTCAATCAAAACCCACAAATGTGGCACTTTTATTTTTTTCTTACAAGTTAAGTAAAAGGAAACAACTTATCCAAAACTACAAAAAAACCTAAAGTCTTCCATTTGCCACAAAATAAGCATTTCTTTGTTATAGACAACAGATATCATTTTATTTCACTTAGGTGCATGTCCTGGCTGGAAAGTAAAATGCCTTTAGAAGTCAACCAGAAAGAAAACCAAACAAAAAGCAGTTTTACGATCATCTGCATTAGCTGATTATTTACATTATTTATGTGCTATAGATTATCATGTAGAATCTTAATTTCCAGTCAAAAATCTCATATGGTCTATTACAAATTCTGAAATCATTACCGTTTACAAGAGAGAATATATTAGAAAAAACAGTAAATAATCAAAAGAATCCATGTGATGACACACTCTTCCCTTTTCCATTCCGTACTCCATTTTCATCCATTATGCACAAAATGTCAATACTATACTCCTGCAGCTAAAGATGGCTTTTTGAATTTTTACTTATCATTCATACTGCAATACAGAACTAAATATATGGAGTGGAAATTGGTTTGGGCTAACCTTGAAAGCTCTAGATAAAATTAGACAAACAGAATCACACAGTTGAATTACATACTGGAATTAGTGACAAAAAATTTACTATGAGATTTGGATATATGCAGTCACAATGGGAAAATATGAATTTGCCTTCATTTTAAGCAAATACTTTATGAACTCAGACATGGTAATATCTCAATTGTAAAAAAAAAAAATATATATTCAACAACAGTCAGAAACATGCACTGTTAAAGGAGGCCTCACAAGGTGGGTACGTGGATGCATTCTGGACATTGACTCATTTTTTACACAGCTTAGTAAAACAGTCCCTTCCTCATGTGTGTGGTGCCTGCCCTCTGAGCTACCTGGGGCCATGCTCTCGTCTCCTTCCTTGAACCTCTACAGATCCAGGCTAAGAGGTACCTCCTCTCCTTCCAGTGACAGTACTTTACCTTTGTTTAAGATGGAGATCAGGCCCTCATCTTCCACAAGACTCAGTGCCTGATGAGTCTGAGCTAGTGCTTTCTCCTCAACCTCCAAGTCACCAACATGATACAGCGCCAGGAAAACGAGGACTCTCTTTCATCCTCTGTTGCCCATGCCCCTTTCTACAGACAATAATTATTATTCATGAAAGGGTAATGCCACTTTATGACATTAACCAGAATGAATTACTATATTGGACTAAATAAGATTTTGGAAAGGAGTTTTTCACTGTCTGTGTAGCCATGCTTTGTTCTGTGTTACTAAAACAGTAAAAAAAGTTATACTCTCTTGCATGTAGGTAGCATCTTTTCTGACCATACACAGGCAAGCAATACCATGGGTTTCATACCTTTGCAGCCACTGATGAGTTAGGTTTCTCCAGCAAGTCCCACAGTTTCTTCCTTTTATCAGGGCAGCAGGTATTATCAAACTCTTCTCCTTCTCGCTCTCGCATAGTCTCTGCCTCTCGCCTCAGTTCTTCGTTCATTTGTTCTTTTTTTTGATGATATCTGGCCTGGCAGCAGGACTCTAAGTAGATCTCATCAATCCCCCAGTAATCAAGTTCTTGGCCAAAAGAAAGTGCACACATTTCTTCCATCATATGGAGTTTCCCTGTCCGGTAGAAATTTAAAATGGAAGTGAAGGCTCCTGGATGCCGATCAAAGAAATACTCGTTCTCGTTCAGATTATAGTCATCGCACACTTCCAGGAGGCTCTCGTGTGTGTTGCAGTCTCGAAGCTTCCCCAGGCGCGTCCTGGGCAGCCTGTCCAGCGTTCTCCACAGGACTTCGTGGTTGAGGCCCCCCACGTTGATTTTAACTCTCCTGGAGCATGTTTTGCTCCGGATAATGTCCACAGGCTCTGGAGGAAGAGAAAGTGTCGACCTTGAAGTCTTCCTGTTTAAGCCCGGGGGAGCCTTTTCTGCCATTTTGAACTGGACAAAGCTGCAGAGCCAGGATCCTTAAAAAATGAGGTCAACTGAAGCAATATCCTTCTGGGGCAGGCATTTCCACTGACAAAGCTGGAAGAAAGCAACAATCACTTGGTAACTTGCATTTTCCTAGAGTATTTCCTGTTCTATGGGATCATTCTGTTGTTACAACCAGAAGGTACAATATTAATGACTGAATACAACCAGAAGGTACAATATTAACGACTAGATAGTTTTGGAGATACACATCTTTCCTTTAGGATATAGGAAAGGGGGGAAAAGACAACACAATGTACTACACAGAAGAGGCTGTGTATTCAATGATATATACCTATAGGCGGGCAACTCCCAAACATGTCATGAGAGACCTCTTTTTCGAGTTGCAGACTAAAATATCCATGTGCTTGATCAACTCTTTTTTTTGAGACAGAGTCTCTCTCTGTGACCCAGGCTGGAGTCAGTGGCACCATCACAGCTCATTGCAGCCTTGATCTCTTGGACTCAGATGATCCTCCCACCTCAGCCTCCCAGGTACCTGGGAAATACCACCACACCTGGCTAATTCTTGTATTTTTTGTAGAGACGGGGTTTCTCCATGTTGCCCAGGCTGGTCTTGAATTCCAGGGTGCAAGCAATCCACCTGCCTCAGTGTTCCAAAGTACTAGGATTACAGGGTGAGCCACTGCACCTTGCCCTGATGAACTCCTTCTAGATAAACCACAGACATCTTAAGCTAAACTGACCAAGGTGCCAATCTCCCCAACCAGTTCCTGATCATTCTCCATCTCAGATTTATGGCCTTCCCCATCCCATACCCAGTCACCCTCACTAAAACCCTGTAAGTCCTGATCCGTCCGTCCACATCCAAATAAGCACCAAGTCTCACCAATTATACCTCCTAACCATTGCTTAACGCCTCCAACACTGTTACGAAGGTTCCCATTACCACAATGCTGGTTCGAATCCTCAGCATCACTTGCCTAGACTTCTTTTCCTTTCTTTTTTTTTTTTAAACAGAGTCTCATTCTGTAGCCCAGGCTGGAGTGCAGTGGCACAATCTCAGCTCACTGCAACTTCTGCTTCCCGGGCTCAAGTGATCCTCTCACCTCAGCTTTCCAAGTAGCCGGGACTACAGGCTTGCACCACCATGCCAGGCTATTTTTTTTTTTTTTTAGAGACAGGGTCTCACTATATTTCCCAGGCTGGTCTGAAATTCCCAAGCTTAAGCAATCGGCCAGCCTTGCCTACACTTCTAATACAGCCTTAAATTGGATCCCAAACTCGAGTTTTGTCCACCTAAAAACCATTTTCCACATAGCTATTAGAATGCTCTGCTAAGACACAAATTTGACCTTGCCACTCACATGCTTTAAATCCTGCAAAATGTCATCATTATTGGAATTTTATTTTTGAACTCCTACCAGCACTTTAAAGCCTAGTTAGTCCTAGTAGTTCCAGCCTCCTCTCTACCTTCACTTTTCATCCTTCCCTCATCACTATATTCCAGCAACCCCAGACTGTACACATCATTCCCTTTCAAGCTCCTGGCCTTTCCATATTGTGTTCTGGAAACATCTTTCTTGTTTCCTTCTGACTAACCAGTACTTGCTTTTCAAGACTCAGCTCAAACCTCACCTCCTCCAGAAAGCTCTCCATAATATTCCCACTGTGGGATCATGAAACTTCCACCATACCATTGCAATATACCTTTCCCATAGTATGCTGGGAACTCCTGAGGACAAAGACCATCTTTTCTATTATTATGTTCCTATCACCAAGCACAGTGCTTATACAGTGTAGGAGTTTAATAAACATTAAACAGTTAATCCATTCCATAATTATTTTCCATAAGAGAGCTGACCAAAGTAATCTATGTGGCCAGAAGATGCAAAAATGGAGTTATTGGGATCACTTATTTAAAATGCATCTGTGTTTATATGTTATGTATATATAATATACATCAGAACGTGTGTGGGTGTTGTGTGTGTGCGTGTGTGTGTATGTGTGTGTATTCTTCTGCTTCACGGCTCTTTTCTCCTGTGTACTAATTCTTTAAAGTATTACTGCTCTTGTAGTCCCTCTTATTGATCTGTTATTCTGATCTGTAGCAGCAAGCATCTTCTTAGTTATCTTCCCCTATAATGTTTTTGCAGAAAATCATAGAGCTTCAAGCAATTCATCCAGAATACCACCTTTAATATAAAACATCATGTTTCACACAGTAAACAGCTTATACTAAAGGGAAAAACTATTAGATTTAAGAGGTCCTTATAATTAGAACTCTCTTTTAAGATACACACCAATTTCTGCATGCCCCTGGCTTCTCCAACCTGCAAGTTAAATTTATTTCTCCATCTGGAGGCCAAAGATCCTCTTGAATGAATACAAGACAATGTAATGAAAAATGTAGATGGACTATATAAGAATTATTTCAAATGTGGCCAATAAATATACTTGCAGCAGGAGTTTTTTCAACTACAGAGTTACAGGAATATTTTCAGCATACACACACACACTCTTTCATCACACATGACAAAAATGCTCATATTTACAAAAATAAGAATATCTACAATGACTGAGTAAGCAACTTAAATTCTCTGGGCTTGAATTTTCTAATCTACAAAATAAAGACAATGGTATCTATTTCATGCACAGTATTATGATGATTAGATGAGATTGTTTATGTGAAATGCTCACCACAAGGAGGTATATCTGAATAGAATAAGAATATTCATATTTCTTCCTAAAGTTTGGTTTCCAAGCACTGAAAGAAAACTAAGATTAAAGCCATATTAGTTTCTATTAAATAAAGTCTAGCTTTTAAATTTTGTCTTTACATATAGGTTCTGTCTTTCCCATTGAATTATAAGTAAAGGCCTGGGATTGTGGGTCCAAACTTTTCTCTACTGAGCACTGAACCTACACGTAACAGGCACCTCATAGCATCTGTCTTTGGTGCCACTGATGTTCGTGTTCTAATTTTATATTCAGGTGATGATGAACCATATATGTGTTAAAAATTGAGCAACACTATCAGGATCAGGCAAAAACAGCTGAAAATATTAGAGATGGGGCAATTCTAGTGATTCATCTGAATATGGAGTCTCCATTAAACAACTTAGTTGTAGGTACACTGACATCTCAACAATCAATCATCGAATTGTCCACATAAATAACAAACTGTGAGCTGATGCAGTTTGAATTTGAATACAAATACAAATAAAATAAATGTACTTTTCTTGAACACCATGTCTTATGCTAATATGAAGATAAATCATTTTTGAACTGATTATAATATCAGATAAGAGGTTTTCCAGGAAGAGAATTAACTCCAGAATGACACAAATATGTCATTTGTTTGTGGTGAAGGGCATGGTGTGCCTTGCAATTTTGAAGAAGTCATTAAAAAAGGAAATGCTATATCATAGTCACTGGTAGGTCACTATTTGTCTTAAATAATTTCACGTGCATTGTGTATAGTGAATTTTCCTTTTTGTAGGGTGTATGTCTCAAGTGAAGAGAGGTCATAAGACTTAAATTTCAAAACATCTTCTTCACTGATCAAGAACTTTCTATTATAAGAAATCCAGTGTTGATTACAAATCCCGCAAAAAAAGACACACTGAAATTCAATGCCCTTTCTTGATAGCAGGGATAGAGAAACTAAGGGTGAGAAAACGGCCTGTTGATTTGATTTTCTTAAGATTTAAAGATGATCTGCTCTCATTATTGTTACCATGGTTAAAAGATTTTTTATTCTCTCTGGGCAGAATGTTCTGCTTGTTACCTGATAAAGAGCGCAGGCTCAAAGGCATAAGTTCCTGAGCAGTTGAAGAGCTGTGAACAGTGTTCCAAAAGTTAATCAAGCCTTCAGAATAAGCCTATAATAAATGCAAGCTGCAGAGCATAAGCCCTGATCAACAGTGCCTTTGAAACTCACTGAACCTTTCTGCTAGCTTGCTTGCCTTTCTCCCTTCTATTTCTTCTTCTGTGGGTTTCTCTCTTACTTTCCCCCATGTCCGTTATGCCACATGCTACCTATCTTTCTTCCTTTGCTTTCCCTTCTTTCCTGTCCTGATCCCTAGATCTTTCCATCCTCACAGCCCCTTAAACAAGCACAAAACCAAACTATATTTTTTCAGACTTATACATACTTCATTAAGTTTACTGTAGCCAATCCTAATATAGAGGCCTCCTGGGCTGAAAATACCTTCCAGGAGATAAAAACATCTAAACAGAGTTGGAGGTCTATGGAATCATAAAAGGGGCTCTGTCTGAGGCTCAGGACACCTCAGTTCCGCATTGCCCTCAATTGCTAATTGAACTTTAATTTCTTCACCCATTAAGTGGTGGCATGTCCATGGCTAAAATTCTTTAATCTCCTATGACACTTAATTAATTTTTTTCTTTCACTGCGATTCTGCTCCTTTTACCTCCCCATGCCCTCCAATCACCATCCTTACTTCAGATAGAAATAAAGCTATCATGCTGCTTCACAGTCAATGAAACATTTTCCATGTCTAGTTTCTTCAGGAAGATGGTTTTCATATTTCATTTCAAGAACCTTTACTTTCATATTTATCATGGCTTGAAACAGACTACCTTCAGAACATCATGAAAGTTTCATTTATTTTATTTAGTGTTTAGTTAATTTTCTATCGTTAACTTTTCATTTTAAATTTATGTCCTTTTCTGCCATATAAATTTTACTTCTAGCAATGAGTCTGCCAGTTCCCTGTGGGTAAGGGTATTGTGTTTTACGACCCTAGAGCGTTCGCAAAATTTACGTTTTTAATCTCAGTAATTAAAGTGGAGATGATGTATTTTCTCATCATACTTTTGTAAGTTAATTTATGTCTATCATAATGATTTTTACCCCATAAAATTAATCATGCAGTTCAATTCTGTATATAAGTGTAATATAAAATGCAATAATTCAGTGCTTAAATTGTGTAGATATTATGCAACTGTGAATAATTTATAAACATAAATTGTCAGTATAAACAGAAGACACTTTTGTTTGAGACCTCAGAACACATGTTTTCATGTCAAGGGCAAAATCTTAGTGAATATTTTCTTTCAGCAGTTTG